CCTTTATGTATCTGCACACACATGCACACTTTTTCCCTCTCTATAAGATTGGATAGATTGGATTTTATTGTATATAACATTGTGTATAAGTTTGTGGGTTTTTTTAATCCTCACCGGAGGATATTTTTTCCATTGCTTTACAGAGGGTGTGGAAAGGGGGGAGAGAAACATTGATATGAGAGAGACACATCTATTGGTTGCCTCCTGTACATGGGGATCAAGTCAGCAACCAAGGTACGTCCTCTGGGCCGAAACTGAACCTGGGACCCTTCAGTCCGTGGGCCAGCGCTCTAACCACTGAGCCAAACCAGCTAGGGCTAAGCTTTTTCTTATATTATGAGATATTCTTCTAAATGAGATGTGTTTTTTTAATGGTTTCATGACATGACATTGTATAAAGGTAGCATCATTTATTCAACGATTCCCTTACCTAGCAGTGTTAAACATGTTTGTATAATGTGCAACTTAAAATATTTTAAGCTAATGTAACACATACTTTTCAGTGACTGTACTTCATTACTAATGAGTTAGATTTTAGAGGGAACATATATATGTATTACCAGTATATCAGTCATCTTGGTCTACTTAACAAATAACCATAGACATTCTTGCTGTGCCCGCACATGGCAGAGAAACAAACTCTCTGGTGTCTCTTCTTATGAAAGCACTAATCCCACCAAGAAGGCCCACCCTCATGACCTTGCCTAAACTTCATTACCTCCCAAAGGCCCCATCTCCAAATACTCATATTGGTGGTTAGGGCTTCAACACATGAATTTGGGGGGATGGGACACAATTCAGTCCATAGCAGCCAACAATGAAAACTATTTCAGAAACTTTTTGTTTTTACCTAGTGACATTTTTAAAACTGGGAGCTAGGATTGTTCTCATTTTATCTGTGGGTAAGATTATCTGAAAATCTTCATAGAAAAAGTAAAAATTACTATTGCTTATTCATCTTGGAGTCTATAGCTAAGTTATGCATTATTGGAGTAAAATGGAACTATGAAATTGCTGAAATGATTATACTATCCCATTCCATGAATGTTCATAGTTCCAGAAAAATACTGTAAATGAATCTTAGTGTCTTTTAAAATAGTTTATGAAAAGAGACATTAGGGAGTTTCCTTTTCCTATGTGGAAAATAATAGCCAATTTTATCGGTGATTATGATCACTTACTGAAGTTTCTTTTAAAATTAGTCTCATTCTCTCCATAAATAAATGATGCAATGATAAGGAAGCCTTACCATCTTATAGTGCTTTATATTTTTCATAAAAACTTTCTGTAACATTATTCTAAAAATGTCAAAGATAGGTTGATCTTTTAACAACAGTGTCACTAGGGTAGAATGAATATGATCTTTCTTCAACATTGAGAAACTTGAAGCTTGGAGAAATTATTTTACTTAGAGTCATAATTCAGTTTGGGTCAGTTTTGCTACTTCAAGTCATACATGCTAAGTGTTTAAAGAACATAGAACATTTATATTACCTTGGTCTGAGAAATAGTAAATAATCAGAGGGAGATACCAATAAATGGTTACCTTTGTAATTATGTAGAAAAGTGAACAGTTAGAGAATACTACCTCTAATAAAGGTCTACTTGAAAATTTATATATAGCTTTCTGATTTTAAAATAATATAATTAAATAGTGATGTATTTCAAAAGGTCATTTACAAGAGCACTATTGATTTGTTATTATGTTTGGCATCCTTTTATTGTTACTTTTTAAGTTTTTAGAAACTTATTTTAACATTTCTTTCTTGGGAGAAATACTAATATGTGATCTCTATGATATTACATTTCTTTTATATAATATACTTTCAAATCAAATAATTGGTTTTTTCAATGTGTAAATTGTAATTGTAAGAACCCTGGACTATTCAGTAGAAAGTAAACAAAGTTGGTGCAAATTGAGATTTTTAATTTTATTTTTGGCTATCAATTTTATGTGATAAATGGCTTGTCTGTATATATACAGGTCAGAACAGAAGTCAGTAATAAGGTCTTTTCCACAACTACTCAGTTCTGCTGTTAGAGTGGGAAAGCCGCTGTCGGCAGTGCAGTAGTCTCCCCTTACCCAGTTTCACTTACCTGGGATTTCAGTTGCCCATGGTCAACCACAGTCTGAAAATATTAAATGGAAAATTCTGGAAATAAATAATTCATAAGTTTTAAATTGTGCGCCATTGTAAGCAGCATGATGAGATCTTGTGTTGCCCCACTTGGTGCTGTCGGGATGTGAATCATCCGTTTGTCCAGTGTATCCATGCTGTACATACAGTACAGTAAACTATTTTGAGAGACCACATTCACATAACTATTATAGTATATCATTATAATTGCTCTATATTATTAGTTATTGTTGTTAATCTCTTACTGTGGCTAATTTATAAATTAAGCTTTATCAGAGGTATGTATGTATAGGAGAAAACATAGTATATATAGAGTTCAGGACTATCTGCAGTTTCAGGCATCCACTGGGGGTCTTGGAATGTGTTTCCTGTGGATAAGAGAGCACTGCTTTACATAAACAAATGGGCATAGCTGTGCCCCAATAAAACTCTATTTCAAAGAAGCAGCAGCCATATTTTGCCTGCAGGCTATAATTTGCTGGCCCCTGGATTAGAGTATAAAGTGAAATGAGCTCCTCACCATAATATTTCCTTATTATTTGTCATGTGTTTTGGTTACTTTTCTTAAATTCTATTCTTCCTAACAATGCTGTAATTCCTACTTCTGTCCTTTTTAATTTCACCTTTTATTACTTTTATTCACACTTGTGTGTGCTACTATGCTTTCATACCTTCAGCTACTTTTCCAGGCTCTTTAACATCCTCACACAGCTTTCCAGCCTGTTGTCAAGACCCTCCCCCCAATTAAGTTATTGTAATATTTATTGAGTTTCAGGAGTGAGTGGTACTAAGGAAATGGCTAGACTCTGGTGGATTTGCATGGTCTGGCAGGACCTATTCAGGCACGCAGGACTTGAGCTGACTCTTGAAAGACTGGAGTGAAATTAAATATTATAAAAAAGAGAAGAGTATATCAATAAATTACTGACCAGGGGAAGCTCATATATTGCTTCCCTCCCACATTTTATCCCCACCATGGACTGGTCTTTTTTAAGATCATTACCTCAAGCAAAGTGCCAGTGGTGTGACTTGTTTTTCTCTGGAGATTCTCTTTCCCTCCATGTGCTTCTGAGATGTATAGGGGATGCATGAAGAACTGCCCTGAGAAGGTATGAGACCCAAGGCCAAGGCCAGCTCTGCTCTAGGCATTCTGTCAAATGGACTTCTCTATGGCTGGCTGGCATGTTTTTTCTTAGGGTCCCAGTCTCTTCTGCATCAGCATAGTAGGCAGGTATGACCCTGGGGGAGGGAGTAGGAAGCCATGGAACTTTCCAGGATTTATAAATGTGTAAATGAAAGGAGCCCTCCAGGGGGACCTGTGTTAGCTCATTAGGGACATAATGAGCTAACACGGCTTGGGCTTTGGAATTAGGGTAGTTAGAGAAAGACTATAAGTAAACATTTATTTCCCTCCTGTGCATTTATTTTCCTGTGGACCTTGGAGGAGAAAGGGTAGCTATATTAAGACAGATGGGGGTCCTGTCATTTCTCAGTCTCTTTACCTTTGGTATGAGTAGATCTCACAAAATAGTTATAGTAGACCAAGTGAGGATACAGACAGGGGACTGGGTCTGCAAGACAAAGTTCTGTGTGGAGAGAGTGAAGCCGCTGGAGTGGGCAAGGCCTGCAAGGTGTCATCCTTTTCCAGGTGCAGCCGCAGGCCCAGCAGGTACAGCCCAGATTTAGCAGTAGGATCTAGAGCCACCAGGATAATGTGAAGAGCCAGGTAGTCTGTGTAATTGCGGCAGGTTACATAAACAAGTTCTCTACAGAAATGGCAAGGCTTTCGCATCTTAATTGCAGTGTCTGCTGTTGGTGCTGGGACTCCTCTCTAAAGCCAGAGTAAGAGCACATTAAAATGAGCAAAGCTCCAGGATGCTGCTTTTTCGCTTTTGGATTGTTGGATTGTATAGTGTTCACTTCGTTTTTCTTCAGAAGAAAGTGGGCACATCTCTAAGCCTTAGGTAATGGTCATGGATAGTGCACTATTGGACTGCAGTGGTGTGATGGAGGGTGTCAGGGAACATAAAAGAATGGGAGTGTTACTATAAGGGGAACATGTCATTTGGAATTAAGGTTGGGGAGATTGCTGTGGGGTCATTAAAACCCGGGGACTAAAATGGAAATAAAGACCTGTACCCAGAACACCCTGGCTGTAAGAATCTGCCTTGCTTGGAGGCAGAGGGGAAATGAGGCAGTGAGTCAAACTACAGCACTTGATATGTGAGCAGAAAAGTGATAACTAGCATTTGTAAGGAGACCACTTGGGAGAGAAGAGTATGGGCCTTAAAACCAGAGGGGAATTAGAAAAGGAAATTTCTAAATTTAGAATGTGTCAGATACTAAACAGGTGAAAGAGGCCTTTGGGAAGACTTAGAGCCCAGAGCTTCCACTCACGCTAAGCCTCTCCTCTCTCTAGGATACTAGTGTAGGGCAGAGACTTTCTATGAGCTTTTCCTCCTGACCCCCAACACTGCCCCCAGGAAGCTCGACTGGGCCGTAGGAAAACTCCTTTCTCGTAGGTCAGGTGGCCTCCTTTGTCTCTCTCTTCCTCATTGTTTTATTTGTGGTAAAACATTCTTAATTTTGAATGCTTTTAAATCCTAATTAAAAACTCTTCAAATGCACATTTGAAGATTGTTCTAAGATAACAATTTGCTAAGTAAATCAATTTATGAGTTCAAAATCAATGCATGATGTTTCAGTATTTAATATTAGTTGATATTAAGTGCATAGAAAAATATCAATCAAAATGCAAGAATTAACTTCAAGTTAGAAAAATAAATAAATGAAAATGAAATCAGCAAAAACATAGTGTATATTCAGTGAATTTTTCTCCTTTCTTTAAAACTATGCAGGTAATATATGCCTTGAACACTAAAAATGACGAGCATGAATCTGCCATTCAGGCCCTCAAAGATGCTCACGAAGAAGAAATCCAACAAATTCTTGCTGAAACAAGAGAAAAAATATTACAATATAAAAGCAAAATAACAGAGGAGTTAGACCTTAAGAGAAAGATCCAGGTTTTAGAAGCATCACTGGAAGACCACATAAAGATGAAGCAGCAGGCTCTGACAGAGTTTGAAGCTTACAAGCACAGAGTTGAGGATATGCAGCTTTGTGCAGAAGCCCAGCATGTCCAGCGCATAGTAACCATGTCTAGGGAGGTGGAAGAGATTAGAAGGAAATTTGAAGAAAGATTACAGAGTTTTGGACAGCTCCAAGTACAGTTTGAAAAAGACAAAAGGTCAGCATTGGAAGATTTGCAGACTGCTCACAGACGGGAGATCCAAGAGCTGTTGAAGTCCCAGCAGGATCACAGTGCCTCCGTGGGTAAGGGGCAGGAGAAGGCAGGGGACCCGCACCGAGCGGAGGTGGAGACCTTAAACAAAACCCTAGAAAAGCTGAGACACGAACAGAAAAAGCTGATTGAGGATTATGAAGGCAAGTTGAATAAAGCTCAGACCTTTTATGAACGGGAGCTTGATACTTTGAAAAGATCGCAGCTTTTTACCGCAGAAAGCCTGCAGGCTAGCAAGGAAAAGGAAGCTGACCTTAGAAAAGAATTTCAGGCCCAAGAGGCAGTTCTACGAAAAACCATAGGGAAATTAAAGACAGAGTTACAGATGGTACAGGATGAAGCCGGAAGTCTCCGTGACAAATGCCAAAAACTTCAGGTAGCCCTTGTCACAGCGGAGAACAGTGTTCAGGTGAGTAAAGAATACTACATTCAACACACAGGTTTTCCCCCAGTTTTCCTCTTTTTCTTTTCAATGAGACTACTTTCACTTTTCCATTTTGCTATTTTCTACTCCTTTGCAGGAAAACAATCAATGACGGGATAATTTTTGCTACTCTGTAGTTATTACTATTTCCTACTGGAATTTCAGACCCAAAAAGGCCTGAAAAGATATTAAAGGGCCAAACAATAACTTAAAGTCTTGTTGAATGTTTTCTGTGAAAGGGTTTTATTTAAATAACATGTTAAATTTTTCCATAAGTGCTTTGGGATCATTAAAATATTGGACTTTGGGTTTACTTCTGTGTTTACCTTTCCCTTCATTAAAAATGGTTATAAGTGTCACTCACCAAAACATATTTAAAACTTGGCACTGTTATGTGTGACTTTTTAATGAGAAGTTGTTGATGTTTATAATTTAATTATTTGCTTAGCATCAATCTTGCATATTAGTAATGGCTATTTGATCTCTCTTAGGGTCTTCAGAAACAGCTTGATGATGCCAAGCAGGGAGAGGTGGCCTTACTGAGCAAGTACAAGGAAGTGGAGAGTGAGCTGGCAGCAACCAGAGCGCGTGTGCAGCAGCAAGCTTCCGACCTTGTCCTCAAAGCCAGTATGTCTGACCTTCGTTCTTGCTGTATTCCTCAACGAGAACCAACACTTAACTGCTGATTCAAGACAAAATTAGTCTTTCTTCTAATATTTTATAATTATTTCTTCTAATATTTTATAATTATTTAGACTCGATGTTAAAGGGCTCTGATATCTTACTCATTAATCATAAATAAGCAAATGACAACTTATTTTTAGAAATGGATATTTTTATAGAAAAACTAAAAGTTAGCAGTTACTAACGCACCAGTAAGCCAGTAACTAAAATAAAAATGCACTCTAAGCCCTGGCCATTGTGGTTCAGTTGGTTGAGTGTTGTCTCATGCACCAAAAGGTCACTGGTTCTATCTCCATTCAGGGCACATGCCCAGGTTGCAGGTTCAGTCCCTGGTCAGGGTGTGTGCAGGAGTCACCTGATTGATGTTGTTCTCTCACGTTGATGTGTGTGTATGTGTCTCTCTCTCCCCCGCTTCTTTCCTCTCTCTCTAAAATCAATAAAACAATATTTTTAAAAATTGCGCTCTAAGATGCTTTGTCTGTTAACAACATGCATTGTAAAATATGTAAATTAGTGGAACAGTATGTAAATTGCAGCATCCTCATTTCATTTGGCTTATTAATAAGGATCACTTTACAAACTAAAGCTGAGTTGCCCATTCTGACATGGCTGTTGTGCTAACTTCCTAGTCCTTACCAGAGGATGTGGGTGACCCATGTCAGTTCTGGAGTGATATTTTGCCTGAGTGTTTAGTGTGCCAGGTGAAGCCATTTGAACTAGTTCTTTGAGAATCACCTGATTTGATGATTCATCAGTGAATCCCAGATTACCCTTTCCCTGAAGTAATAGTTTTGCAATCAAGCATGTATGAGAATCACCAGGAGGACATGTACAGTCACAGATGCTGGGCTCTAGCCCCGGACACACTGATTCAGCGGGTCTGGGGTGAGCATCATTTCGAACTGGAGTTCCCAGGTGCTGCTGGTGCAGGGTGCTTTGTGACCTGCCCTAACATATGCTTTTTGATACCTTTACCTCTCACTCACTTTCTTTTAGGTTTTATTAAATTTTTGGGCTGACATTGATTAATAACATTATATAGGTTTCAAGTGTATAGTTCTATAATACACCATCTGTATACTGCATTGCGTGCTCACAACCCAAAGTCTAGTCTGCCTCCATCACCATATATTTAACCCCCTTTACCCCCTTCACCCTCTCCCCAGCCCCCTTTCCCTCTGGTATCCACCAGACTGTTGTCTACGTTTATGAGTTTGTTTTAATCAATACCTTTCTAACAAGCTACGTGCAAATTGTGCTCAGAACAGTCACACTCACTTTTTATCTCCCTGTTCCCCCTGCTTTTTTGCTGTTGTCATTCATTTTATTTTTTCATAACATCGCTGTCCTTATCTGTCTTTTACTCCACCTTAGTTCTTTATGAGGTCTCTTGTCTAAAACATTCAGTGTCAAACAAACTGCTGTCTACTGTCTTTACTCTCTGCATACAGATTTCTTCCTCTTTAGCTAGAATTTGAAAAAGAAGAGATTAGAAAAAACAAACTACTCATTTTGGTGCCATAATCTTAGGGCACCCGCCTTTGCTTTGTTTTGCTCCTTCCTAATACATTTATTCCAACCCCTGAATAGTTGGTTCACTTCAGCTTGTATAGCTTGAAATCTTTAAAAATAAGTGGCATGGTCCTGGGTGCAAGGAGCAGTATTGGTGCACTTCTTTGTAATTTAAATTATTCTACTTGGGTGCAAAGTATTCCCATGGCAGCTTTTTCCATTTTATGTAGTGAAGAAATCAATCAACTATGTGTACATGCAGACCATTTACTTCACTTAGGTATCAAGTACAATTGTGTCAATAAATATAGACTGTTTTATACCACATTTCAACAGATTTTAAATTGGAGGGGTTTTTCTTTTGTGGGAGTAGGTCATATTGGAATGCTTCAAGCAACTCAAATGACCCAGGAGGTTACAATTAAAGATCTAGAATCAGAAAAATCAAGGGCCAATGAGAGATTATCTCAGCTTGAAGAAGAAAGAGTTTTTTTGAAAAGCAAAACTCAGAGTCTGGATGAAGAGCAGAAGCAGCAGGTTCTGGAACTGGAGAAGGTAAAATGAATGGGGGACCCCCCTCCCCAAGAAAGGAAAGGAACGAGTTCAGTTTTCCTCTTTTCAGTCTATTTCTTAACTCTAGTTGTTTGTGTTTGAGGAAAAAAGGTGTAAATCTAGACTATCCCATTTTGTGTACATGTTCAAAACATTGTCAGTAACAATTTATAATGTAAAAACTTAAGACATTTCAACCTATTTCAAACGGAATAAACTTTTATTTGTGTGGAATGTATACTTGTGGTTAATGATATTTGGTTTTCTATGGATGAAATGTATTGTCACATATGTACTTAGGAAATTTCCATCAAACTGAAAAGGATGACAAACATCAAGCTCTGAAAATTCATATACCAACATACTGAATTTCTAGATTAAACTAGTAAGACATATCATGTGTAGAGTAATTCTGAATATTCATTCCAATTTTTCAGATATCTACAATACCAAGTGGGAGTTCTGGATACCCTTTCTCCTTCCCTCAACAACCAAGCATGTTGAAAAATGTCTATTCTCCTTGCCCCCTGCTCACCTCCCATTCACTCCTTGCCCGGGTGCAGTCTGGCTTCTCTTACTACCACCCCACAGAATCAGCATTTGCCGCAGCCTCCAGTGACATCCTGGTTGCTGGACTTGGTGGATCTTGTCTTACTGTGGTACTTATTCCTCTCTGATTTACATCCCCTCTCTCTTGGTATTTCTCTCGTGTGTTCCTCCTGTCTCCTGGCCTTGCAGGCTTGTTTGTAAGCGCCCCTCCTCCATTTGTTTCCTTACCATTGATGTTCTCCAGCATTTTCATCTCACTCCACACGCTCATCAATTTCAGTAACATCAGCTGTCACTTGTTTGTGACAGCTCCCAAATCTGTCGGTCTAGGTCAGATCTTTTCCCTGAACTTGAATCCTGTGTATCTAACTCCCACTATATCTCACAAATGTATCAAATCAGTATGCCTAGAACTTTGTCCCCTCAAAAGGACAAATAGCACTAGTCTTTCTAATTTGGTAAATTGGAACCCTGGGAGTAATTCTCGATTAAGATTCCTTAACCCCTTATCTGTTACCAAGTCCCATTGGTTCCGCTCCCTTAATGTATCTTTAGTCCATCCCCTCCTCTTTACACCCATTTACAGATGCTAGGTTGAGGCACCTGCCATTTCTTGCCTGGATTGCTGGCCGTTACAACCCCCTGACCGCGCTCCCTGCCTTGAGTCAGCCCACTAACCTACTGCCAAGATGATTGGTTTTTAAAATATGTCATTTAATTACATTTCATTGATTTCTCATTCTGGTCAGAATAATATCCAGAGTTCTTAGCAGAAAAGACCCCTTATCATTTGACTCCTGCCTACTTCTGAGCCTCATCCCTGACCACTCCCAGCCTTGTGTCTTATGTTCTATCTACACCTGAACTTTACCACCTGGTTGACTACCTCTCATCTTCAAAATGCTATAAATGGCTATGAATGCAAACTTTTGACACCAGATCTAGGTTTGAAATGTTCTCATCTCTAGTTTCCTGATGGGCTTGTAAGAATGTAACTGAGAGAACATGTCATCGTCATCAGCTCAGATGTTTTCTCTTCTGAAAAGCCTTCCCTGATCTCTCTCTCCCCTTCTCTTACACACACAGACCCCCCCCCACACACACACATACTCTTTCCCACCCTATCCAAATTAGGCTCCTTTGCTGTATACTCTCACAACATGTGACGCACACTTCTTTCATAGAACTTATACAATTATATTGCCACTGTCTTTTGACATTTTTTGTCATTAGACTGTGAATGCTTAAAAGGCATATAATTGGCACTCAATAAAATTGTATTGAGTAGTATCATTTGAGCGGGTAAATTGTTAAGCCATTTTATGAACAGCTTTGACATGTAGGGAGCCTCTCTTAAGTGTACAGATGTGCTAATTCACATTTGGTTCTAACCTAATAATAGCCTATTTTATCACTTGCTTTAAAATTATTTATTTTGCCTGTGCCACCCTGTCATTTTCTGCAAACACCAATGGTGTGTATATGATTCTCATGTTCCATAGTCTGAACCCCGTGGTACTCAGTTCATTCAAGTTTATGTATTTACTGAGTATTCAAAATACTAATAGCAGTAATGAAAAAAGCTGGTGCCAATTATTGACCTTTATTTGTTTTAATTTTAGAAGGTAAATGAAGCAAAGAAAACTCAGCAAGAATATTATGAGTTGGAGCTAAAAAACCTGCAGAATAGATTGGAAGGGGAAGTGGCTCAATTAAATGAGGCCCATTCGAAGACTTTGGAAGAATTGGCTTGGAAGCACCATATGGCAATTGAGGCTGTCCACAGTAATGCAATTAAGGATAAGAGAAAACTGCAAATGGTAAGAAAAATGCAATTGAGGATTGCACTTAAATTGATGGAGTTCCTGTAATGATCCAGTGTGACCTATGTCATGGAGTAATGAGCTGCTTCATTTTGATGGCTGCTGACTTGTAACTACTCTGTAAATCTTGGTTCAAAGAATAACATACATGAAAGCTCTTGATATGGGATATGGTTTATTAAGTTGATATGAGGCACTTCTATTTTGTAAGCCACAAGAGAAACACTCCTTTGATCTCGAGCTTTCTCTTCGTGAGACAGTAAGAGGTGTGCTCCTCAGGGACCCTCGGCTAGATGAAGCACTTACTCTCTTGTAGACAGTTTTCTTTCCTGGGAAAATGATTTGTTTTGTTTTCCCTCAATTAAGTACTAAGCTTGCTAATAGTAGTCCATTGACAGACAGTGTTGCATAGTAGATCTGGGCCTTACACGGTTTCCTCAATAAGCTAGAACTTACCAGTTCCCCATCCATATACTCCAGTACTTCCCATATACATCAAATTTTAATTGCATAGTCTTTAATTGCTTAATATGATGAGCTTATTAAGAGCAGGCACCATGTCTTATTGCATCTGTATCCAAGATATTAAATACATGCCTGGGAAATAGTAAGTGTTCTTCAGTAAGTATCAGTTTTGCTGGTATTGCTCTTCATGTCTGGATTCTATACTTGCTAATTTTTCACTATGTTCCAGTCTAGCACTGAGTTCCAGAGTGTTACTGGATTTTTTAACAATGTAAATATAAAAGAATTCTGAATTTAAGAGACAGAATTTTTTCTTTATCTCATTAAATTATCATTTATATAACACATTTTTGGGTTTTTTACTACAACTTGATCTAGACCAAATAGTCTTACCATTTAAAAAATTACTTAACCGCTACATTGTAAGTTATTCAGAATGATAGAATTTAAGCCCCTGGGATTAATTAGATTCACTATTAATTCTGATATTATTAACTATGGGTAAAGCTAATTTGGAGAAATAATTATCAAAATATAAGCAATGATCTTTTTCTTGGAGTCTTTGAAGTATATGATATTTGAAATTTTGTTAATCTTTTAAACATTCTTCTCCTTAAGGAATTGGAGGAACAATATAAAAAGGAGAAAGCAAACCTGGAAGAGGGTAAGAGTCAGCTTCAGCTGGAGCTGGAAGGCCTGAAGAAAGAACTGGAACACAAGCTGTGCACAGCCAGTCAGGAGGCAAGAGTTCTTTAGACCTGTCACCTGTGTTAGGTTTTTACCATAAAACCCTATTTGGTAACATTGTGTAAGTAGGGGAGCTTCAGTGACAGTAACGTCTAGGATAAAAAGAATCAAAAAATGATGCTGAATTATTCACAGTACATTGGTTATATCTCACCAGGTAAAAATTGACTACCAAACACATGAGACCCAAGGTGCTTTTGGAGGGAAAAGCAAAGCAAAGAATATCATTGTATAGAAGAAAACAAAGGAGGTTCCTCTGCCTTTTTGCAAAACATTGGCTTAGTATTCTCTACTCTGACTCCATTGAAAAAAGACTTCCCAAGTTCTAGATAGTAACATCTAAATTAATTTTACATAAAAATAGTATTAGTTAGCCTAGAAAAGCCTAAGAACAGAATAGAATAAAAATGTTACAAACCAAAAAGCTGTGCATAAATGAAAGGTAAAGAAAGTTTAAAATCATGATGTCGTGTGTTCTGCCCCTCTCTCTCTGGCCCTTGGTTCAGCTAGGCCTTAGAACAGTCTCAGTACTGTCCTCGTTTCCCTCCATTCCATTCACTGTTCTTGTAGATTGTGGACTGATCTTCCTTCAAATTCTTGTCTTGACCCCTCTTGTCTTGTCAGCTGTTCCTGCCTTCCTGGAGCCTTCTTTCCCAGCGGTCCTTAAGTCCTGCTTCCTCATCACTCTGCTTCTTCTCACAGAAACCACACCAAAATTCACAAGGGCCCATGGGGAGGCTAATAATTTGCTCTCAGTATTCTTTAATTATATTTAAACATTTATCCAGAGAAGATATCATTTGGGAGTGATAGAGATTGAGATTGTTATTGGTATTATTAACTCAGGCTCTCTTCTGTTGTCCAAGATAATCCACCACTGGCTCTAAATTTGCACGCCTCTCTTGGCAGAACGCAATCTTTGTAGTGTCCCACTCTCTTTAGAAGGCAGTTTAGTGACAATCTGTGTTTCTCATGCAGGTCCCCTGGAGTTCTACTCTCAATTCTAATGGCTTAAGTGTTCTTCAAGCCTACACACTCTAATCTTACTGAGAAGAGTTCTAATAAACATGTAATTGATTTTTCTTCTTAATGCATTTGCAGTTATATTTTAGCACCCTTACAATGCTTTGGTGCCATGTTGGAATGGCTCCCCAACAATCTGCCTGGCTCGTTTCTCCATATGCACTTACTTGTCTTTTCTTTAGCCTGGGACATCTGTCTATCATCTATCTATCTGTCTGTCTGTCTGTCTACCTATCTATCTATCGTCATCTGTCTATCTATTTATTTATTGGTCATTTTTTTCTGACTAGGCTTTCCAGAGATAAAAAGCATTAAGCATTCTTGTTTTGTTTTCTGCTCTTAAAGTAAAGGGTAACAACATTTCACAGTTAATTATGATGCTTCTCTAAAGTTTTGTTTTGTAAATTATCTTAATCAGGTTTGGGAATTCTCTTGTAATTCTAGTTTCTTAATTTAAAAACCCCACAAACTGATGTTGATTTTTCTGTATATATTGAGATCATACTTTTTTTCTTTAACTTGTTAACGTGGTACCTTATGTTAATAAATTTTCTAATATTATATCAATGTGGGATTTCTAGAGTAAGTCCTAATTAGTCATGGAATATATATCTCTTTTATTTTTATTTTTTTATTTTGTTATCCTCACCCAAAGGTATTTTCTTTTTCCATTGCTTTTCAGAGAGAGTGGAAAGGAGGGAGGGAGGGAGAGAAAGACATCGATGTGAGAGAGACACATTGATTGGTTGCCTCCGCTAGGGCCCCAGCCAGGGCCGGGACTGAGCCTGCACCCAGGGTACATGTCCTGGGCTGGGATCGAACCTGGGACCCTTTAGTCCAAGGGCCGACTCTCTAACCACTGAGCCAAATAGGCTGGGACTATATATTTTTAAATCTAATAATAGATTTAGTTTGCTAATACTGATTTTAGAAATTTTGAGCCTAGGTTTGAGTAAGATTGTACTTTTCCTTCTTCACACCATCCTTTTCTGGTTTTGGAATCAAGGTTTTACTAGCCTCACATTCCCTTTTCTCTTCTCTGGAAGAGTTGTATGAGATTGAAATGCTTTTTAAACTTTAATTGCTTTGTGTTAGAAATTGTGGTTGTATAGAACAGTTTTTGAAACTTCTTAAGGCTTTCAGCATTGTGACCTGGCACGTGAAAGAAAGGTAATGTTCTGGGTGCATCCAGTTGTTGAAAACAGTATAGTCTATGTGTCTGTTTATTAAATCAAGATTCTGAGCTATTTTCTTCAAAAATTCTGTATTCTTTTTTACTTTTATGTTCTTGACCAATTACTAAANCAGTATAGTCTATGTGTCTGTTTATTAAATCAAGATTCTGAGCTATTTTCTTCAAAAATTCTGTATTCTTTTTTACTTTTATGTTCTTGACTGATTCTATGATGGTGGATTTCTTTCTTTACATTCTGTCAGTTTTGCTTTTTATATGTAGAGACTTTGTTATGTGCATACAAATATAAAATTGTTTTAGCTACTTAATCATCTTATTGGCTTAGTTTGTGTTGTCTATTATTGTATAACCAGCTTTCTTTTAGTTTGATGTGACTGGTATATCTTTTTCCATACCCGGACTTTCTGTTTTTGTGCATTCTTGTTTATATGTGCCTCTTGCCATCCACATATAGCTGCATTAAAAAAATATATATATATACAGTCTGAAGTTTTTTGGCTTTTAAATAGTTTATTCCATTTACATTTACTATTTATTGGGTGGCAAGTAGATATATCTGTGGAAAGAATTAGGGCATACTTCATAAGTGTTTATTTACATGGTTGTCATGTAAGGGGGCAATCATAAATAAGGAGGTCTTTTTCCAAAAACAACAGATGAAGGCTATAATGACTATTTGAGTGCTCCTTCCAAACTCATCAAGAAAGATTCATCCAGTAAATTTACAACTAAAGAGGAGACTTTAGGAAAACAAATGTGACTGTTTTGCTAGTGGAATACAATGCGGTATATTAAAGGTACCCTATTTACTTGCAGGTTGGTCGCCTCCAAGACCTGGTAAGGAAAAGTGAACAAGGTCTGGGCTCTGCGGAAGGACTCATTGCTGGTCTTCAAGGCTCCCAAGAAAGACTTCAGAATGAGCTCGACTTGACTAAAGGCAGGCTGAAGGAGACCAAGGATGCTCTATTAAATGTTCAGGTACTTTCATAATCCTGCTGTAGTCTAAACATCAGCAAGGTAAAAGTATCATTTAGTCACTTTGCTTAAAGGTTATTAAAATCCCACTGCATATAATTTAGTGTATTAGTTTCCTAGGGCTGCCGTAACAAAGCATCTCAAATTGGGTGGCTTACCATAATAGAAATTTGTTCTCTCACAGTTCTGGAAGCTGAAAGTATAAACCAAGATGTTGTCAGGGCCATTTCCCTGTTAAATCTCCATGGGCAGATCCTTCCTGGCCTTTTCCACCTCATGGTAGCCCAAGGCATTCCTTGTGTTATGGCAGTGTAACTTCAGTTTCTTCCTCTGTCTTCACATGGCATTCTCCCTGGGTCCTCACATCTTACAAGGACTCCACCAGTCTTACTGAATTAAGGGCTCACCCTACTCCAGTATGACTTCATCTAAACTAATTGCATCTGTACTGACCCTATTTCCACATAAGGTCACATTTTGAGGTACTGGGGGTTAGGACTTCCACATATATTTTGGGGACACAGTTCAACCCATAACAGTATGTGTGGTTCTTTTATTGGTAAGAGTTAGAACTCTCATGTATAGCAACTAACTGATTCTCTGTGACTACCCCTATCAGAAAGGTCTGTCTTCCCCCTTCCATTCTCATGGAGCAGAGCAAATATTTAGACTGCTTTCGACAGGAGAGAAAATAATCCATAAAACTAGGAGAATAGTAGTCAGGGAGTTTTTTTTTTTCTTTTTCTTTCATACAGGTGAAGAAGTCAGATTGGCTCTGAAGTCAGATTGGTTGGGTATGAATTCAGGATCCACCACTTAGTGTATAACTTTTGGCATGTTAATTATTCTAAGCCTCAATTTCCTCATCAGATCATTGCTGGAGGGGCTGGGGAAAATAATAAACTTCACATCACTCTCGTAGTAATTAAATGAGATAAAACATTTACAGCACAGTGCTTAGCAAGATAGTAGGCACATAGTAAATGTTGCCGCCTTTTATTTAATATTTCAAAATTTTTTTAGCTTAGAATTGACATTTTAAAAGCATATAAATAAACTTTAGTGGATATAGCTTGTTTATGCATATATATAATCCTATTTATATTTTATCTAAGGTATAGTTATATTTTTTTATATATAAAACTTTGAATACTAATTCCATTCTGTTTTTAAATTCTGTGACAAAATAAACAGATTGATTCTCTTTGAATCTTTTTTCCTTCTGTTTACCTGTCCCTAGTGGCTATGTGAGATGAGCATTAATATGTAACAAGGAATAGATTGAAATTTAGAGCTTGTGTAATACACAACTTAAGATATTTATGTGATGCCAAACATACCAACCATAATCTCAGTGTTAGCATTCTGTGGTATAAAGCTGACTAAACTGTATTAAGATGTGTCCTTTCCATAGTCAGAAGTAACAGGAAGATGATGTTAAGGTAGTAAATATGGTGACAGATGATTATTCAACATCATGATGACCATTTCATAAGGTATATAAATGTTGAGTCACTTTGTTGTATACCTGAAACTAATATAATATTGTATATATCAACGATACTTCAATAAAAAAATAAGGTAGTAAAAATATACTTTAAAATAAGCAGTTTAGATATTCTGAACAAATGTTGATAGACTATAAATTGTTTTGATATGGTACCTTGGAGGTTCTGTGTCCCTTGCTTTGCTGCACACCCGTTTTCTGCCTTCAGGGCATGTTATCCTGGTTGCCTTTCCCTCTCCACTCTCATTGTGGCGCTGAGAATTAGATTTAGGGATTCATTTTCAGTTCTTTAAGGTCCTTGCTCATATTTACATTGTTCTTCTGTGACGTAGTAGAACATAATACAAATGTTAGGCAAAACTCTATCATCGGTTCCTTTTTTGATCTGGACAGTTTTAATTCAGAAAATATAGGTGCTGCATCACTGTTTACCAGAACTTTGGGAAATTTCCTTAAGAGCAAGTGGGGTTTTTGTTTGTTTGTTTTTCTTTTTACCCTTTTTTCCACCCCAGTAATGTCTAATAAAAGTGCTGGGCATTCAGTAAAAGAGATATACTTTAAGTAATTCTGCTCCATCTAATGCTGATACCTGGGGTAGAAAAATAGTTCCCAGAGACAGAGTACTTAGTGAAGAGGATAGTTGGCTGAATTCAGTTTTCAGTACTTACTGCTTCATAGCCAGGCCAACAATACGGTATGGAATGGCAGTTTCCACATTGACTTGCTTCTTTCCCATTAATCTAGGATATACCCCTTCACAACTGCAGTTAGCAGGTGGGTGATCCAGAAAGGGTCATTGTGATAACAGGACAGACCATCATCTGTTCTTCCCTTATTACACTGCTGGCAGGGACTGATGGTCGCCAGTGTTGTCTAAAAGGTCACCTCTGGCCCCAGGCTCCAGAGAGCCACTTGATTTATGCTAATCTAAACAGGATTTCATATCTGTCTTATCATATTACCATAACACTAAACTCAAGGACCACTGGTTTGAAGTTATATAATAAAAATACTCAGTAGCCTAAATTTCTCATAGTTTTAATCAGGTCAGTGGGGTATAGCTGTAATGTTTAAGCTTTGAATAAATAGCATACTTTTGAGTATGACTCTGAATGAATTTGAATACCGTATCCGTCTATGTAACATGTGTGCCTATAAAGAGAATTGACTAATAGTCATGTGCCCATGATGTGGAAGGTTTAGTTAAGATTATTAATTATACTGACTTTAAACTATTTAAAATTATTTTAAAGTTATAGACCTTAATAAAAGGTAGTTTACACAAGGACATTTAAATTATAAAATGTATACCGTATATTTTATTGTCAGAAAATCTCAAGTAATGATCATAGATATAGCACTATTAATTATTGTGCTGTAAGAATTTAAAGTTATAATGCACGCACTCTGCTATTTGAAATAACCAGCAGTAACTTTGCTTTTAAAGACTAGTCTTGACTGAAAAGTTTCTATTCTTCAGAGTGAGCTAGAACAAGAAAGGCAACAGCATGAAGAAACGCTTGCTGCCCTGAGAGGAGAGGAGAAGCTCAGAGTGGACAAAATGGCCCATGACTTAGAAATAAAATGGACTGAAAATCTTAGGTACTATTTTTACTCTGTAATGTAATCTCATCAATACAGATGTGCAGAAAATGTTTTTCTACTCTATGGCTTACACTGTCTTCCTGTTAAAGACATAGTAGCAGAATTTTCAATGAATTTTTCCCTTGATTAGATGCAGAGAAATTGGAATTCTTTTTTTCTCTCACTTGAATACAGATTGCTTTTTTCTGATTTCATTTCCTTGAATATAAAATAGGTAGAGTACTAACCTGAAGTCAGAAGACTTCTTTGTTCCAGCACCTATTCTGCCACTGATAAAACTGATAAACCATGATCTTGGGCAAGTTACCAGTTTACCTTATAGCCCCTAACTGTAAAGTAGTGGGCTCCTCTTCTGAGTTGATTTTTGAGGAGGATTGGTTAAGTACTTAGGAAACGTGAGCAACTATACTACAGTTACTGAGAGAAACAGTGCTCTTTATAAAGGAAACACATTTGTTTTATTCTAGACAAGAGTGTTGTAAACTTCGTGAAGAGCTAAGACTTCAACACGAAGAGGATAAGAAGGCGGCTATGTCTCAACTTCTGCAGTTAAAAGAGCGAGAGAAAAATGCAGCCAGGGACTCGTGGCAGAAGAAAGTAGAAGATCTCTTAAACCAGGTAGTTAAACGTCTGCACATCATGAAGTTTTACTTTCTTTGGCATTCTCTAGGTAGGGAAACACTATACAACATTGTGTTTTCATTCACTGTATTTTGTTATTTTTTTCTTTTAAATTTTATTTTTCAATTATAGTTTACATCTGGTATTATTTTGTTTTAGTTTCAGGTGTACAACATAGTGGTTAGAGTTTGTAATCATATACTTTACAAAGTGATCCCCTCGATATTTCAGGTATACACCTTGCACCATACACAGTGATTAAAATGCCCATCAGTAGACAGATGGATAAAAAAAGTTATGGTACATATATACAATGGAATATTACTTGGCCATAAAGCAAAGAATGAAATCCTACCATTTGCTACAGCATGGATGAACCTAGAGGGTATTATGCTAAGTGATATTAGTCAGAGAAAGACAAATACCATATGATGTTACTTATATGGGAACAAAAAGAACAAAACAAATGAACAAATAAAATAGAACAGGCTCATAGATACAGAGAACAGACTGATGGTTGACAGATGGGAGGGAGGCTGAGTAAAAAACTAACAAGAAGCTTAAGATGCTTTAAAGCAAATTGACTGTTATATAGGGCATCAGTTTTTATTAATGTGGATTTTGTTCATGTAGAATGCTTGCCAAATAATACTTTTGCATATCCAGTATTCTTTCAAGCAGACACTTACTTGGGATGATCTCAGCCAGTCTTGTTTAAATACCGTCATCAGTGGCTTACAAAGTTAAATCTCCAGCCTTGACCTCTTACCCTGAACTCACAATCACTTGGTTGGCTAGTAGGCATCTCAGAGTTGGCATGTCTGACTCAGAAGTATTGATTCACACTCTCCATCGATCATCCCAACGTCTTCAGTTCTTGGCACTGCTTGTTGCTCAAAACAAAAAAAATGAAGAGTCATCCTTGATTTCTCTCTTTTTGTTTTTACCTCTCTCATCATCTGTCAGTCTTCCTTATTCCACCTCCAAAACATACCTAGCTCCATCCGCTCCATTTCCCCTAGTAAACACTAGTCCAAGCCACTCTTATAACGGCCTCCTACATAACCTCCCCAATTTCACCTTTCTCACAGCACTCAGTGATCTTTTATGATGTATGTCAGATCCTGCCATTCCCCTGCTTAAAATTCTCTCAAGGCACTTCCTTGAATTAAGGCTGTATTCTGACTCTATTGTCCAACAAGACCTTAAACCATCATGCCCCTGCGGGTGTCTCTCATCTCATTTCAGCCTTACACACAGCACCCCCCCCCCCC